GGGACGGGACAGGACACGACACAGCATGACACAACAGACAAGACCCAAAAACAAAAACCAAAAAAACAAACACACCGCAAAACACTGGCATACTTATCCTTCTTACTGCTGCCTGGCATGAGGTGATGCCAGGTGATGAGATGATACCACCTCTGGAACACACTTGCAATCCTGCCCCACCACAGCAAATGGCAGCAGCCTTCCACAGTAACTCTCCCACGTCTCACACTGCAATTCAGAGTGTTTTCTTCCAAAAGCCCATCTATGCCTGCTATATAATTTCTCCAACTACTGTTCTACTACAGCAGTACGGTGCTTCACATTAATTTCCAGAAGAATTCTTAGAGTCAAGAATTCAAGCCAAGTTTACTAAAGCTATACCTCTGAGCACACAAACCATGAGATGAATAGCAGCAGCCACTGGCAAGAGGTAGAGCAGCCTGAGCAAGGGCTGAGCCCACACCTGCAGCAAGCATGCTCACCATCATCTAAAGCCAAGCTGTCTGCCACGAGCTTCCCATCGTACAGCTCCTTTTGAAAGGAAAGGAGCTTATCAATAGTGTGGCTGATGATTAATACAATTTTAAATTTCCAAAAGAATTGACTATGCAGCAATTTCTGCTGCTATTTCTACATGAAATAATTTCTGCCAAAAGAGAGCTCAGTATGATACCGCGTAGCCCTCACATTTACCGATGAGCTTTACTACACAGGTGTGAGCAATCTTTGGTGCACCCTTCACATATGGCTGGCCTACAGAACCAGCACAGGGCATTTTCATAGCTTTCTAATGGAGTTGCTGCTCATTCTACCTACAGAAACATTCATAAGAACAAAAATCTCAGTTACCTGGTGCTTTTGCATTCATATTTCTTTTGTAATGGCAACAGAACATTAGTTAAATCACATATGTAGACTCATGATGCAAGAGTCACCCAATTTGTTTAAAATGAGGAAAATGAAGCACAGATTAAGAAATGTCATTAATACCAGATGATGGGCAGGAAAGGAACAATTTCCAGTCCAAATCCAAATTGTTAAAACACTCCACTGCCAGCAAGAGCTATACTGCCATGTTTATAGCTTGTAATGGTAACATGTGTAAACTTTTAACCCAGACCAACAATATAAAGATATTCTCAAGTAATCTATGCTCCACAAGAAGCCTGTCAGGGCATGTATGTTGCTTTACGCATGAACAAGTACATACACATGCAATAAATTTATTTATCACTTTTTAACTCCTGTAACTGGCTCTAAAGCGCCTTCTGAAGTAGTAAAGCAAGTGCATTAAGTTCTGGTTATTCAACATGGCAGTAGTGGGAATGTGCTATTTATTCCTCTGAAAAGTTTGTGAAGGAAAAGAAAGATGGCAGACAACAAGCTGTACAGACACCAGTATCACAGTATGTTAAGGGGTAGGTGCCAAATCTCTTGTGTTGATATCACTGCTTGGAATTTTCTATATTTATGTTTTCTTTTATTATCTGCAAGGTTTTTTTGGCAATGAAAAACTTCCTGCAGCCATCCTTACTCGCTCTATGTTGCATCTGGGGGCTGAAATTAAGCTATTTGAAAAAAAAAAAAATACAGAATATCCAAGCTTGCAAAATATTAAATAACCATGTAGTCCAATTACATGATTTATGCCAGCGAATTACAAAACAGATTGTATTGGATATCTGGCTTAGCTTTCACTGAATTTGGTATTTCAGAGCAACATCCTGTACCATGGGACTTCTCTCTATACAAAGAAGTTTTCACAGAGTTTCAGATCACTAGCTCTTCAGTTATTAACTGCACAAGCATGCACACAAACTTTAGTTTTCATACCAAAATTTCAAGTTACTAGGACACCCTTTGCAGCATCAGCTTTTAATCTTCAAGGGGGTCATCAGCTCCATTAAAGTTACCTGCAAATTAGATGGTAACACCACTGTCAGGTGCCATGACACCCATATTTAGTTTGCTGCCCAAACAAAACACCTAGTGGTTGTTTACCACAGATCTTCCAAAGGCTGCTCGGCAAGTCCCATCACTCAGCTGTAGTCACAGCAGACAATTTGACAGTACCAACGCTTATCTGCGGTCCAGGCCTTCTGACTGTGGTCCAAGTTACAAGAAACATCCTTCAAAAAGCAGCAACTGCAGCAGAAAAAGGCTCCTCTCTTCCACAAGCACTGTGCTTGCAGCAACACTCCCCCACAGCTCTTACTGTGGGTGTGTCTGCAGGTACATCTAACCCTGTTGTGGCTACAGGGTGCTAAGACGCACCCAGACATGCCTCAACTAGACAAGACACTCCAGCACAAACCTGAGCACGGGCTAACTGCCCGAGTGCTTCTGTTCCAGACCCGATTACTGCAGCCTGCACCAACACTAGTCTGCTATCACATCCCGTTTACTGTTTAAAAGCTAAACTGAATCCTTCGCTGCACCCTAAAGCACAGATGTACATTTATTCTTACTACGTATTCCCACACCCCGTGCCCAAACTCCTTACTTCTTCCCTTTCCTTCAAAATCTATTTGAAAAAAATAAATTATGATTGCTGCTGGCCATTACGTCTACTTTGCTGTTTCATTAAATGCACATCATCAAACACAAGTTTTAAGCCCTCCTGGTTCAGTCCACCTGTGTCAACCTGTGCTTGCAGCCCCATTCCAGAGCTTCAAAACAAACACTGCTCTTGGTTTCTTGAAGTGGAGAGTGACATTTAGTACAGCTCCTGCCTGTCAAACACAACAGGAGCCAAACAAGCCTTTTTGGTCTTTAGGATCATTCCTACACTGGAAGCCTATGATCTCTCACATGCTGATGTGCAGAGACACAGAAACTTTGCTGATGGTATAAAAACAACTAGCTCTTCCAGAATTTGGGAGAGACTACAGCAGACATTCAATTCAAACACTTTGGAGAAGGTAATGTTTTGCCAGGTTCAATTTCTATCATTACTTCTGCCAACAGCAGAACATTTTTACAAATGGGGACAACCACAATGCCAGCTTCACAGCAATGAAGCAAAACAACTTGCAAGTAAAGAGTTATACAAGGGCCATGAGTCTTCCATTTTCATTAGATTTCTAACAAATTGCCAAGAATCCACCCCCAGTGCACACACAAACAAGCTACGTACTTCAAAGTTTAATATTAAACAACAATTACTAACTAACCACCAGTATTTTCTGTGAATAATTATACTGGCTTCACCAAGATAAAAATTCTTGCCACAATCCATTTTTTTTTTCCAGGCTATTTTATTTGCTATTTTATGATCAGCATTAGTTCCACACAGACTATTAATGTTTCAACAAAATATAGATTAACCCTTTGTTCCAGGATCTCAGATTATATTCAGAAAAGATGATGATCAAAACACCCCCCAAAGCTTTGACCATACCTCTTTCTGTTGCCTCTCCAGTTCTTTCATTCGGATCTCCCGTGCCTCTGCCCGTGCCGCTCGCTTTGCTGCCAGTCTTGCTTCTGCCTGCAAATGGGAACACAGGAATGAAAAGCTGGACAATTCAATGTGAAACACACTTGTTAAGCAGGGCATGAAATAAGGAGACTTGATTCAGCAAGACTGTAAACACATCTGTAGGAGTTAATTCCTTATTGCAAGTAATGGCCCTGCCTTCCATAACTTGCTAGGCTTCACAGGCAGGTAATACACCCTCGTGTAGGCACTACCTTTGGTTAGCAGTTCTGTTTACAAGTGCCCTGTGCTTCTTTAATTACTATTTATGTGGATAGAAAGGAAACAGCAACATTTACTTAAGAAAGGCAGGTTTTACTTCCCCCCCCCCCGGGGGGCGGGACCCCCCCCCCGTGGCGCAGATTAGTTTTTATTGATGAATTAATTTGACCAACAGCAAACACATTATGTGCCATTTTTCCTAACCGCTGACATTGCGCACACATACATGGGCACAGCAGTTAGGTAAACACTGCTCTTCAGCATGACTGTGCATAACTAAGGCTGAAATGATGCAGGCAAGGGAGTAGGGAACCTGAGAAAATGTCCTAACTCAATTAAAGGCTCCAGACATCCATATTCAAGTCCAAACCTCTCCAGAGTGGAAATCTGCCAAGAACGGGCCTCTCGGGAGATCTACAGTGCTTCCTCATTTCAGCCCAGCTGGAAGTGCTGGAACATGCTATACAGTAACATTTTTAATATTCTGCTTTTAATCCCAGGCAAAACCAGTTAGTCTTCTAGAGAAAAATGTAAAATTAGCTCAGGCTTGGTACAGTGTGACTGAGAGCAGTTCACGCAGCGTAATTCAGAATAGCTCAAAACAGGAAGCAAAAGGCATGGCTCAGCTAGTCACCCTGGCAGTGCACCCAACTCCTCTGCTTCTGAAACCTTTTGCTCTAAGTACAGCATCCAATTTAACAGGAAAAACTGCAATAATATCAAGGTCAAGCATACGGAAAATTAGAATGCCAGCACTTTCATTAGCACTTCTAAACAGAAAGCAAATCAAGGGCGGGGGGGGGGGGGGGGGAGAACAAAAAAAGAAAGCACTGTAATTTCTTTTCCCTTCTTTAAGTATATTCACCACTCAAAGTAGAAGGAAAAGGGCCACAACCGTCAAAAACACCAAACAAAACACTGAAAAAAAGCCAAAAAAGGAGCAGGCTGGATGGAATTTTCAGTTAGGAGAAAAGTGCTAATGAAAACTAAACACAAGCCGATATATGGGAAGACAGGGAGCCTTGCAGTGCTGTCCATCTTAAACATCACCAACAATAACAAAATCTAAAACATACAGTCACTAGGCTAAAAATTAAGTTCACATCACCCACCTTCTACAAGACCCCACCACAAACAGCCCCAACCCCTAAATACTGCTGCTCTTCAGTTACGGACATTCCCCCCCTTTTTACTCTGTTGCCCCTAGGCTCAAACTGGTAGGCAGGGAGATTCCTTTTGACAACTATTGTAGCTCCCTGTTGTGCAAACATGATCTACTAGTTCAATGAACTGAGTTTTTAATTCCTGCAACACAGACACTTTCAGCCTGAAAAAATTACTTGTAACAACAGAAAAACCTTCTCAGAGGGTAAAAATGCCCATGGCAGAAAGAGAAAAAGGTTGGGTTTGCACAGAGGGCTGCTCTCTCTTCAGTTCATTGCTTGAATTTCAAGGTAGCTAGCTCCGCCATGGAGAGAAACTCCAAAACACACCCGTGGTCTCAAATCTAAAGCAGACTTCCACACTTGCACCCAGAAACTGTCCCCTCTCATCATCGCAGTGTGCTGTCACTTATGGAGCCAAATGACGGCAGGCTCTGGGGTGAAGGCATGTGTTACCACCAGCGTTTTCAAGGGACCCTGGCTTCAACAGCCCGTACCAACCTGGAGCAGTTTGTCCCAAAAAATCCCACAGTCCTGCTGCTGGGCAAATACTAGGTGGAATCCCTGCCAGGCAGCATTATGGTTTACCTGCAATGTCTGAAAACGTTTATGACTACATAAACATGCTGTAAGACGTATGCTAAAGGTAAGAAATCATAGTACTGGAACAAGTACGATACTGACTTGACATGATCCATTTGTGTTTATCTGAAAATAAATTTCAATACCTCAAGAAGCATTACTGTAGGTCTCACAGTTGGTACTGCTGTAAATACAGGACAGTGTCAGAGGTAAGGACTGCTCCAGGCTATTCATCACAAGAGGCAGCCAGGCGATACCAGGTAACAACCACCATCTTTCGCCAGTAGCCATTCAAACACAACACGCACATACCCCAAGGAAGGGGAATCTTGCTCCAAGAACTCCAGCTCATGAATGATTGG